TAGGCCGACACGATGTCCGTGGGTGAATGGTAGGTCAGCTAGTCTTCGGCACAGGGTCGGGAATGTGGAGGTGCCCGGCCGGCCTGAACGCTTGCAGAAGAAACGAAAGGGCTGCGCAGGTACTGTTGAGAAGATTGATGCCTGACTACGGGACAAGTACTATGCCGCATAGATTGCGCGGCCTGTCTGTTGTCTCAACATATTCCGCTGAAATGCAACTACGTATTTGCACCTTTGGGTATCATTGAGCCCATCCGAAACCGAAACACCATTCCCATCGTGCATAGGCTAAACCGACATCTCGCTATCGCTCGGAGATCCGAGGTCCTCGACAATGCTCTGTTGAGTTCCCGGGACCTGCAGCCTCGAAGCCGATCCAGATAGATCGTCGCTCCCATCGACTTGTTGAGCCTCACGAGGAGCTTGCACCTCATCGTCAGAGTCGTCATCTACAGCTTCAGCTGCCAGCATGCGCTTGATCCTGCGGGCGATGATAGTGTCCTTGCGCACGTCGTCCTTGGTGAGCAACTAAGAAGAAGTGTCAGCATAACTCCCAGAGCATATTAACATGCGACGGATAGACTTACCTGTGAGCATCCATTGACTGGACACTCAATAGCTCTTTGGTTGTCTACCCTGTGAGAACCCGAGCGAATCATGTCGAGAACGGCATTCTTCTCAAAGGTATGAGGACACTTTGTGCTTGTGTAGGGGTCCTTGAACTGCTGGTATGTGATGGGGCACCTCGTGCTGATGGTCGCCTTGTCTACTACGATGTCATCGTCGTCGTCGAGGTCGCCTCGCCGTGTGTCCGTAATGCCAGGCGCTGGCGACCCGGACTCATTGAACCAAGTATCTTCATGACCCAGTGTAGGACCCTCGTCGCCATACTTGGCATCGTGTACCGTACGCTTGAACTCCCGGTAATCGTTGTTACGTGCATAGCGCGCCGTGTAGGAGAGTGATATGTAGGCGTCCTTGTCGCGCTGCATGCGATCTGCAAACAGCTCGCTCGCACCTGTGAGAGCTACGCGAGAGCCATCCAGGGGTGTAGGACCGGGCGTAGGTCTGTCGTCCATCTCCTCATCGTCACCCTCGTTCTGTGCCCGTTGGCTCGCTGCCTGAGTCTGGGTTTGCCTTTGTGTCTCCCGCTGTGTCATCTGCGTCCGATATTCGTCTGCCGATCGCCCGGGCGCAGTGTTCCTTAACCACTCCAGTGCTTCCTCGATGCGCTGCGCGGCAACACCCGAGTCGATGACAGCGCGCATGCTTTCCTCCAGCTTGGTGGTAGCTCCATCCACATTGGTCTGGAGCTCTGCCATGATACTTTCTTCTTCGTCTTTGTCGTCCAAACTCTTGCCCACGTCCCACTTCTTCTGCCGTCGCTCGATATACCCAGCATGGTCGCGCAGCATATCGTTGATGTTTGCCGCGGTACTGGTGACATGTTCGGTAGCCTGCTTATTGTGCCTCTTGATGTCATTAATATTGCGACCTTGTAGTTCCCTCAGGGCTCGCGTCGCTTCGGTATCGAGGGGATGCGATGGCTTCTTGTACGGTGGAAGGATGTCTGCGCTGCGGTTGCTGCCGGCAGTCCGGGCTGGAGTGGAAACCCCAGATGGGCGACTAGCAGATGGCCGCGTAGTTCGGTGTCGAGAGGCCATGTTGTGCTGTTTAGTGCGATCTTGCGATGTGAATGCGATGTGGTGCTGCCCAGGTGTCGCGTTGGGCAGAGATAGCGCGAGACACGATGATGCGGGGAAACGCGTCGGGACGATTGCTTTGGGACTAGTGCCTCCGCCTGGTCACGTGTCTCAACCCGAGCGGCGGCAGGTTTGACCGTCCTCTTATCGTAAGGTCACAAGTCGGGGTGTCAATTTCGTAAAAGTGAAGTCATCAATAGTCTACAGCTCTCAAATTCGGGGGGAACAACACGGGCAAAAATTTCGAGTCACGGTATCTAAGTCACGATCTGCCTTCGGGTCTTCCTTCCACCTTATTTCAGGAAACATCCGAACACCGTGGCGTATACATCAGAATGAAAACATGCAAAGCAGGTGAGCTAACGTCAAAGTAGGCTCTACACCCGTTCAGTCCTTCTCTTGTATGAGGTGCTCCCGCGATGTACCTTTACGGCACAGCAAACTATTCTCGGAAATTAACTGCACGAAGCGATCTCGTCAGATACCCTGCTGCACCATTACCGTTATTCTAATCCTGGGTCAGACGTACATACGGCAGTCATGCACAGAGCCGGCAGATAAACTGGGTGCCCAGCCGGGCGCATACCATAGCACCGGGATAATAGGATCAGGGTCAGATCACCTCTGCATATACCACGCCTTTCCCAAGCCTTTCCCAAGCCTTCTCCAAGCTATTCCTGGGCATTTTCCCAAGCTTTGCCCAAGCTTTCCTCCAAGAAAGTTCCAAGAAACGTCCAAGTTATTTCCAAGAGACGTGCTATTTCTGGGCGTTTGGCCAAGCGCTGGTGGTCAGATGGGCGGTGGCGGACTTGGCGTGACCTGATAATAGGCCTTGCTATTGCCGGGCTTGGAGGCTCCTATGTCAGTATTCCCGGGCTCGAAGCTCTTACTTTGAACATGTCGAGAGTGAAAGAAAGATATTGAGGTCTTTGAAAAAGTGGTCATAGTTGTATTTGAGTACTATCGAAATCTACGGTCTACGTCTTGATCCCATTGACGCTGACCGATGCGTCCATTATCCATACGTCCGAAAAAGCGTGGTATCATAATATGTTGACAAGAAAATAATGACACCCAAAGTGCGAATACTCCGGAGTCCTAAGCGGCCATCAACCGCTTCCTAAGTGCTGTCGTTACCGTAATATTCGTTGACGTCCGAAAGATGCATGTCCTGCGTGCTATGATGAGCCGCACGAAGGATACGGCATGCGTGCGCACGTTGCGACGAACGCGAGCTGCGAAGCGTCCTGTTCTAAGATTCGCCATCGTCTTTCCCAACGACGGGTGCCTCGACCCGTGTGGCGGCGCTGGTGTTGCTTCCAGATAGTCTAAGCTATGCCTTCGCAGCTTCACCTCATCACGCTCGTGATAGTAGTTGTAGTTTGTGGCGCCTTGTTGGAAAGAGGAAGGCCTTTCTCGATGTCGCGCATCTTGTTGGCGTTCTTGCCCGGGGGCGGCGAGTTGAGTCTGATGCCTGTCCTCCGGTTTTCGCGGTTCTGCTTGCCGGTGTCGTTGTTCGCGCGGCCAGTAAAGCGACGAGACGCACGGCGAATGGATGCGCGAACGTCCCACTGGCGCTTCTTCGCGAGCCACCAGAGTACACCCGATGCGACTGTGTCGATGTTAGCTCGAGTATGCTGTGACGTGATGTGCAGAACGTACTGGATCCGAGCACGACTAGGACGGCGACCACAATGATCGCTGCGATAGCACCTCCCGAGAGCGAGAAAGCACCCTTTTGCGTTCCCGCAGCGCCGGCATCACTGGGGTCTTGCGGGTTGTCGCTACCGCCGTTGTAGCCGGGAGGAGGAAGCTCGCTACCCGAGGAAGAGTCCTGAGCAAGGGCGAGCAGAGGAAGGAGGAACGAGAGGAGGAGAGGCCTGCTCATGATGTCGATGTGCCGTGGAATGCGGCGTGGACGGGAAGATGGATCGGATATGAGGTAACACGAGGCTGGCGTGAAGGACGTTCGATCAACTGGAGGAATACCAACAGCTCGCTACCCGAACGGAGGGCATGTCTCTATATTTGCGTGGCCGCCTGCGAACATCTTTTATCCAAGCCAATACCTTCGCCATCACTCGTCCAATACCCCGCCAGTCTCAGGGCTTCTCGGCGGTTAGCATCGTGCGCTTGGACGGCAGACCAGGTTGGCTACCGGAGAGTACATCAGGCCATTCTCTTAATATAGCGGCATTGGCGTCGAGTTTTGTCGGCTTGGAAGGATAAGCCGAAAGGATTGGTAGGGCGTACTGGGTAGTGGGCGCGTAGCTGTGTAGACGAAGATCACCGTGCAGCCGAGCTAGCAAGGGGTAAAATGTGATTGGACGCACCCCGGTCTGAAGCGCCCGGCTAGCTATGTCGCCGCACACTTTAGTTTCAGGGGAGCATGCAAGGCGACGACTCCCATCGTCCGCCTCACGGCGTACATGTAGCAGCTGCCGCTTATTGTAGTCGGTGAGCCCGTGGTATCAAGGTATTTCTGGCTCCTCATCTCCGGTGCAGTCCACGTTAGCCACCTACGTTTGGGCGCAAAGTGGACCAGACGACGTAAAAAAAGTAATCACATGGCAGGCGACATGACCTTCTCTAATCTAGGGACAATTATCGTACGATGTTGCCTGGGCATTCGGGTGGATGCGCGCTATGAATGGGATGCACGGCAATCATCATTGTGGTGCGCTGCATGAAGCAGCTTTGGAGTAAGTACTCACCCCTCAAAGGTTTGCCTTCCAATGTTCTTCGTCTACCGTCACGTGCCTGTGGCCGCGCGGGGTAGGTAGGTATAGCCCAGGAATGTGGACATGGTGGGGGACTGCGACATCTGGATGGTGACTGCGAAGCCTAAGGGCAAACTCAGCGAACTGCATCCAGGCATTCATTGATCGAGTGGCTGCGGGCAGACATAGGTACGACGCATGATCCGGAACATGCCTCTGGAAATCATACTGCAGTGTGAGATACGTCCGCCGTGATGAGGTGCTTCACTGGTTCTATGTATGTATGCGATGTGGGTGTTCTTCCTCTTTCCATCGCGCCTTCCACGATGTCTTTCTCAGTTGTCATGACCGAACGTGTGGCGTCATTCTGTTCAGTCGTGCTTCCCTCATGCCGGCGGGGGAAAGAACGAAGGCAGGGCGGCGCTGCAAACCTCGTCGCCCCTCACTCTTGTCCCATAATACTTCATCTTCTCCTACTCGTGCAGTCGTCTAGCACGTCGCTTCTCATCTTCTGCCTGCGCTCTTTCTACTACGGTTTCCTTGCGTCCGTACGCGCCTGGCAGTGCTGTCACTCACCATGGCCGAGTTGCCTCGACAAGGCAAGCAGGTGCCAAAGAGGCAGAAGCCTTCACGACTGAGACATGAAGTACGCCCCGAGTCAACCGATGATGAGCGAGATCGCAAGAAGCCTGTCCCCCAAGAACCTGATAGCGATGCAATTGTTCCGGAGACTCAGCCCAATCAGGACGGAAACTACATTCGTGATGACTTCACTCCCGAGCGTGAGCTGGACCTCAGCAATCTACATACTAGTCCCGGTACTGCAGAATTGTTGCAGCGCACTGCAGTAACGAAGAAAGCGGACACTCATATATCATCATGGGTTCCATTCGCTTTCAACACTCGCGCCAAGGAAACATCCGGATTGCACAATAACTCTGGATTAGCAGATGTACCAACGTTCGCTTTTTCACGTTCGCAACCGAGCCAAGTTCACAAGAAGACATCCCCGAATGACGAGGCCCTTACCGCTAGGTCTGTTCCTCATACTGAGTTGACAATACCTGGTGTCGACAAGCAGGTCGTGCATGCATCACAGGGTAAGCCATCACGCCATGCCAACCGACCAGACTAACATGCGAGTAGATGCCACCGTAGCAACAAAGCCTGCATACGTCTCACCACCAATCTTCTCGGGCAATGACAATCGCCAAAAGCCAAATCCTGCCATCGACCAGGAGATACTTCTCTTCCAACAGCCAGCTGCCAAAGAGTCACGAAACGGATCTGCAGATCCTTTGTAAGAGCTCATGGCAAGCGCCCAGAACTCCACTGACTTACGTAGCTCTACCCAAGCGGACACGTCGTCTGAAATCCCTCCGTCCGCACAGCCCGACGCAAGGCCAGCTCCGGGAACTAGCAAGGCTCGTGTTGTCAAGAAGTCCAAGAAAGGCAGAAAAGGACAGCTCTCTCAGCAGCGTGAAGGGCAGCGACCTCCTCGATCAAACGTTCTGGCACGACACGCTCAACAGGCCATAGCGCCTGGTGGGCCAGTAGCCGAGACACTCAAGAGACCCCTTGATGCCGACTACACACGAGTTCATGCCCCCCAATCTCATGCAGTGCAAGCATCTGCCCCTATCAATGACCTCGATGGGCATTCATACATTGAGGAGTCTCCGCTGATGAAAGAGCATGAGTGTGTCGCTCACGCCGAGGAGTCTTGCAACACCACTCAGACCCTTCCGGACACGACCTTTCAAGACTTTCCAGAGTCTTCCGCCCAACGCGAGTTCCCCACGTCCTCTATGCTTGTGGCATCGACTTTGCCTCTGCAAGTGGACGCTACGGCGCCAAAGCAACAGCCGCTCGCAGATATACACGATCAGGATCGCGGGCTGCCCTTTGCTGAAGACCGTACTCCACTGCCGGCTCAAGACTCTGGTCTCCATATCCCAGACAATCACGAGTCGATTGCGGAAGCCACTCCGTCCACTCAACTCCAACAGCTCGAAGTATTCGCAGATAGTCAACAGGCTTTACCACAGCCAAAGGATGCTGAAGCTGTTCTACATCGCATCTCCCACCAAGACGCATCTCACCGTGTGGCCAAACCTCGAAGAAAGCTACGACCCAGCGGTCCGGTACCGAACAGCCCCCAGGAGCAGGCCATGTCTCTCAGTGTTGATCAAGCAATTGAGAGCGTAAGAGTGGCGATGCTGGCTGACAAATTCCGGGCCAAGCATGAAAGCATGATTGTCGCGAAGCAGCGCGAGGTCGAAATTGCCGGGCTTCAGGGTACGATCAACGACCATGTCCAGACTATCGCAGAGCGTGATCAGAGCATTCGAAGCCTGAAAGAAGCTTTCAGTCAACTCACCGACAAGGCCAAAAACAACCAGAAATTCGTACATGGCCTTCAGCAGGACTACGAGAAGCTGCAAAAGTCTGCTACGAGCTTCCAAAAGCAGAGCCAGAGGACACTGACAGAGAAGATCACCGAACTTGAGGATGAAAAGAAGACGTTGTATCGCGAATGCGAGACTGCAATTCACAAGCTTGCTACAACTCAACAGAAGATGAAGTCCGCGCTCGACGATGTCTACGTGCGGTTCATCATATCGGAGTCAAAGAGGAGAGATCTTATCGAAAATCTGGGCAAGCGGGACGCCGAAATCGGAGAAGAGCGGAGAAAACGCGACGACATGGAAAAGCAGCTCCTGTCAAGCGTTCAGAGTATTCCCGGTAAGATTGTCGATGCTTCCGATACTCTGGCCAAGAAGTTGGAATCACTCCAGACTTCGATGGAGCAGGCGTCTGCCCATGACGATCGAAATGACCCGATCGAAGAATGTCTGGACGCTTTGCGAACCCTGCAGATGTCGCCAGCCTTGACAACTAAGGACATCGAGAAGATGGAGAGCACGTTGCGTCTTGTGCACGAACGGCAAGTCATGATCCTTTCTTATTGTGCATCTTTGATGTGCTGACTAGTTGCACAGTTTGGACTCAGGTCTTGATACCCTTTCCGAAACCATAAGGAGCGAACCAACCCCTGGCACGGAACTCCGGACTTTCATCGGAGAGCGATTGGACACTCTTCAGAAAGCGATGCTGAGATATGATGAGGCTACTACCGAGAATCGCAAAACGCAGGAGCTGAACGTTTCTCTCCAGACGAAACTTGAGGAGCAACAGCAACATTCCGATCAACTTAATGAGCAAATCAAGGAACTGAAGCAATCTGAGGTCAATCTCCAGGCCCAATCCGATCAGCTGGAACGGGATTTGATCGAACTGAGGGTTGCTCACCCTGTCCCACGCGTCGACACGGAGAAGCTCGAGCGAGAAGCTTTTGACCTTCGCCAACAGTTGAAGAAGGTCGAGGAAGATCTGGAAGCCGCCAACAACAAGGTCGAGATGATTGAGCAGGAAAGAGATACGTGCAAAGTAATCGGCGTTGCTTCTTGTCTATCGTGGTTTCTGACGGATGACAGGGTCACCACGAGGATGTCAAGACGCAGCTACTGGAACTGCAGCAAAATCACAGGGTAGGAAGTACCACTCAATCTCATGGCCTCACTAATTCTGTTCACAGGTTGAAGACGACGTCGCCATACGAGAGGAGATCGCTAAAGACTGCGAGAGTAGATTCGCTAAGAAAGAACGCAGCTTAAAGAGCGAGATTGATCGACTCACAACTGAGCGCGACGATAAAGAAAACGCACATCAAGAAGTGAGCATCAACCTGGACGCCGCGGATACCCAGATCAAGGAGCTGGAGGAGAAAATCCGCACACTGGAATCGAAAGCGTTGGAAACGACAAACATCCAAGACCAGCTACGACAGACGACTGAAGAGCTACACACCAAGAGTAGAGGCCATGCTGAACTGAGCCGCCGTTGCAATGAGAAGACCGAGAAGATCTCCGAGCTGCAAGGTCTTCTCGATAAGTCACAAGCCCAAGCAGCCGAACAAGGGACGATGATGCAGACTTTGCGCGATGAGGCTGATACTACACTTGCCAAAGCACAACAAGATGCAAGCAATACGCTCCAACTGTTACACGATCAGATTTCTACGCTTCAAGAGGAGAAGAAGGATCTATCGTCCAAGCTTCAGCATGCCCGGACCAATGAGAGCAACCTGCGACAGGATGTAGCCGAACTACGCGCTGCGAAGGAAGCAGACGAGTCTCGATGCCAAAAAGACGCCGACCAAGAGCGCCGGAGGCTGAATGAGCAACACCGCACCGTGATAGATGACTGGAAACGTCGTCTAGCCGAGAAAGACGCTGCATTGGACAAAGCAGAAGCGGATCTACGGCTCGCGGAAGACCAGTTTAAAGCCAAGCTAGCGGCTGATCGCGAAAAGGCAGAGTCGAACATGCAGAAACTGGAACGACAATATCAGGATTTGATCAAGGCTGAACGCGAGAAGGTTCGCCGCATCCAACAAGACGGTCCCCAAGTGCAGGATGGCCAGAGTGTCTCAACGGATTCACGCGATGCTGTACGGGCAGCGAAGCCCCGGAAGAAACTTCAACGACAAAACAACTCGGTGCTTGACGGTTCTCAGGGTCAGAGTCATCACTTTGAGAAGCCATCATGGGCCTTGGACGCCGAGGTCTCACAGACTCAGTTTGACGACGACGACTTGTTTGCGACACAACATGAGACTCATGAAACCCCCAACAACGCAGACAGCATTGATCACGAACCTGGAACGGCTACAGAAACTCAGGATATTGGAAGTGCATCTATCTCGCAGGATATATTCAACATGTACCGACCGCCACAGCAAGATCTCAATCGCCAAGGCTCAAGCTCATTGAATTTGAGTAGTATATCCCTCGACGATTTAGCTGCGCTGGATGAGACTCAACCTGCGTCAGGTGCTATGCTTCGGGGCTACGTTCGCGATTCTTCCAATCATGCTTCAGCCCACGCAGATACAAAAGCAACGCCAGCAGTCGACAACGTATCTGTGGCTGGCTCTCACTCATCTCGATCATCTGGACGACCACGATCGCAAGCCAACACAGCGTCGCGGATGATGCCACCTCCTGGTAGTGGCTCTAGATACTCTCAGCCTGGTACTGGTGTCCACGGGGAAGAGCATGGAAGCTCCACTCGACATACTACGTACGGCAAGCCTTTGGAGATATTCAGCGGTAGCGGCGCAAATGCGTCAACCCCCAAAGATCGGACTAGACCTTTGTCACAACAAACGAACAACCAGTATGACTCCCGACGCTCCGCCCAACCCGGATCACAGCACGGCGTGACGCCCTCAACGAAGCAGGGTTACACCGATAAACGTAAGAGTAGCAATGACTTGGCCGAGAGGGAATCGGCTTCAAAGAAGCAGCGAACCAGATCTCAGTCGCGTCCATTGAACCCCTCTTCCGATCTGCCTGGAAGACCTCAATATGCGTCTGGGAAGTCAGCCTCGGCTTCGCGTCCAAAGGCACAAAAGACTCTGTTGTATGGACAGGCAAGTGCTCCAGCTTCGACCCGATCAAAGACTCCCGTCGCTTCCTCCCGTATGCGCGGTCGTGTCACCCGTCAGGCTCCGTCTTCTAGTGGTGCGTACTCACCGCGTGGCCAGCCTTCATCGCAGGTATCCACTGGTGGTCCGACCCGTCGATCTTCGACCCGTCTTACTAGGAGCCAGAGTAAGGGCGCTCGCTTTGAAGCCGTGTTGGACTGAGCTAACGCGGTGGTGTAGGCAGGAACGGCACCGCATTCGGCGATAGCTATAACGATCGTTTCGGCCAGGAGCTAGACTAGCTGCATTGTCGAGACGAAGCGCAGTAGGAGTTGTGAACGAAGCGCTTGGGTGAGGAGATCGGGTACTCTCGGAGATTGTTGCGGTCCTCGACATCGGGTTCCGCTCGAGTCGTTTATGTGTGTTGTAGGTCTCGAGGTACGCGGAGGGGAGATAGCGTCGTGCGGAGGATCTTTCCGCGAGTAGTCTTTTCGAAGGAAAGGATGGAAAAGGAGAAAAGTTCAACCAGGCGAGGGTTCAGTAGATCTAATTAGTAGACCTAATGCGAGTACAATGTAGTCCAAATTATATCAAGCTTGGCCTGCTCGCAGAAGTGCAGCCGCTCTCTGGAGAGCCCTTAACGCATGGAACGTGCTTCACCAAGTGATGGAAGGTGGTCGGTGCTGCTGCTGGAGGCTTTTGGCGCTAAGGTTTGTTATGTTGTCAGGCCTTTTCGAGCTCCCCTTTGCCACCCACACCACCAAATCACGGCCACCCACAACCTTCTTCTGCAAGGCTGGCGCGCATCTCAAAGGCCTCTTTGCACCTTGCCAATACTTTCTCTCTCATTCCACGCTCATCTTGAGCCTTTGCGGCGCCTTGACGATGGCGGCGATGCGGGAGTCCCAAATCGCTCCAGGTCTTGCCCACAACCACGCCGCTCTCAAACACGACTAGAGTCGGCGAGAAGCTGGCCAAAGGTACAAAGAGCCAGCTCCAGCTTACTGTACCGTCGTACGAAGTGGTGTTGTCGAGATCGACGCTCTGTTGTTGACCTCGTAGCCGGCAAACTGTACCCCGCCTCAGGCGGCGACAGCCACAGCAGCCTCACCAGAAGGCTACAAGGCCTTGACCAGTAAGTGAGCTCCCTTCTCATCCCCAGTACGCAGCGGCAAGAGAGCCAGGTGAGATGTCGTTGCTCAGCTCCTGGCTGTTGACCTCCGCTGCTTGCCTCTGCGGCGACAGCGGCGGCGACCATGTCCCCCAACAACACTCTCTGGCATCTTCTCGTTGACTACCATGGTCTCCACGATGCGCGCACTGAGACTGACAAGCATTCGTAGCGATGATGCCGCCAGCCTCACCGGCGATGTTGGCAGGTCTTACTCGGACATGCGCGACCTCCGCCATGACCGCCGTATCAAGCGAGTCCACGCTGACCTAGTCGGTCTCCCCTCAAGTATGTTCCACTCAAAGCGGCGTGAGTAACGTCCTCCTCATCGGCGGTGAGCGACTCGGCTGTCACCGAGTCGCAACTCCCCTTTCCTACCCCATGCGCACAAGACTCATGTGACCTGAGCTCCCGGGCAAGTCTTTGCCAATTCTTTACTCTTGTACTGGGTCCTTCTCTTTCTCTTCCAACAACTCAAGTACATCAACTGACGGAAGTGCTCGCAGGTACCTTCTACCTTCCCAGTCTGCTCTCCCTGGCCGGGCCGTTCGATGGTCATCCACAACCGAATCGCCCATCATACATTGACGCGCCGCCCACCCGGACAGTAAGAACATGTCACAACCCTAGGTAAGTCTGTCTTCCTTCTTGCTCAGATCATACCGACCGACACGTTGGATGAGCATCTGGCCCCGCATCCTGGGTTGTGGTTCCTCATACCGCAACCTGCTTCCCGGGGCCTATATTGAAGCCATGACGCGATGAGTGGGTTTGTTGGTCCTTGTTGGGCGCTGCTGCAGCAGCGCGTCTCGAGCCCAGAGACAAACTGGAATGACGATCAGATACCGTCGCCAATCTCTGATGGCAGAGAGGTCATAGCGATCCATGATCGCGGAGGGGGGCAAATGACCGCGTCGACCCTTGACTGTTCCCCTCGCCGTGGTAGCCATCTACCGGTACGGCCTGGATGGTTGTCAAGCTCGTACATTTCGTCGCTTTTGCACTGTTGTCGTTGTCCTGCTGTCGAAAGGCTACCGACCTTGAGTAAACTGACACCTTTTCTAGATTTGGCATCGGCATCGGCCTTCGCAACCCGTCTTACTCCTTTGACGCCGCCGCTAGACCACCAGCTTCCTCAGCTTAGCTGCATCAGGTAATTTCGACTTCTCTCTCCTACTCCCCGTTTCCATATCAGACCCAGGCGCCGGGTGTGCGAGGACGGATCTTCCATACCCTTCTCTCGCATGACCCTCCGGTGATTCGGAGATCCAGCGCGCCGAGAGCAAGATCACACACGTCAGTCTTGAACGTGGGAAAAACTTTGAAACGATACGAGGAAGATCAGCATGGTAATCAGTACCCTGGCGAGGGAGTACACATACACACACAAACAAAGAGAAGCTACCCGTTCAAGCAGTGTGTAGCGACGCATGACTGTTCCATTCGCGCTGCCCTCGTCGGCAAATGTGCCTATAGGTTGTCATGCTCGTACATTCCTACAACATGTCTCCAATTTGAGTACGAGCAGGGGCGTTGGCTGACTCAATCGTAGTGTTCCGGGAGCGCACCAGCAGCAGCCATCATGGCTTCAGCAGACTTAGGTAAGTCCGCCACACCGTCTTCTTCTCTCCCATCTCTTCATATCGCCCTGCAGGCGCAGGGTGTAGGAGGATCGATCTTCCATATCCTGACTCGTACACCCACGCGCCGAGATCAACAAAAGACCTGCAAAACATCCCGCTCTCGGATATCTGTTCTTAAACTACAACTACCAGTCGACTCGGTCGATTTGCTCTTGGGCAAGGAAGGAGCAGTATCTTCAAAATCTGCAGGTCGATGCGTGACTGGTCCATGGCGAGCTAGCTCCTCCCCGCGAGTGCCGCGTGTGGTTTGTCGCTCTCTTACATCTTTTCAGACGATGACAGCCTTTTCGAGAACTTTGATGAGCATGTCCGTTAACACTCTAGTAGGTTTTTCGCGACGAGTTCGCAGACGATAACGACTTGTCGGAGTTGCCGACCTTGCAGTAGGTCGGTAGGTCGCATCGTCATGTCATCCTCGGTACGCATCCCTCATCCATTCCAACTCTTGCACATATACGAAGTACCCGATGACGATACATCAACACTCATTCCAATCACCGAACTTTCGCTGTCGAAACCTATCGCTGAGGGTTCTCATTGGCTTTTCTTGACCGAGGTTTGAGCTTCGTTTTGTTGACATTGAGGCGCAGGCAGCTCTAGTCGAGAACATATCCAATAAAGGTAAGTGCGCAGTCGTTCATGTTACTTGCCCAACTCCCCTCATGATGATCAAAGAGTAAGGTTCAGACCGGAAGACGCACGATCGTCAGTTCCGATGGCGACATTCAACTGTTCTGAAGATCACACTTCCACTCTGTGCCTCGTACTGTGCTGGTGAACTCTGCTGACAAGCACTAGGCTCATGAAGCACCGGCCTTGATGGCAAGGTTATTGGCGACGATGCTGGTAAGTTTATCAAAGGCCTTCCCACCCACACGCCTCTACTGCAAGGGCCGTCTTCTCCGAGGTAAGCGTGCGACACTTCATCCAAAACTTGGCCAATGATGAGCAACCGACTAAGCATCTCATTCGACAACCCATGAGGTCATCATCATGTATCATACTCTGAGGCTTCCCACTCTTCTGTTTGCTACCTGTCATACATGTCTTGGCTGTGACTGACAATGCAGGAGGCTGGCTCGGTCTTGACCGCGATGCGACACATCGACCAATGTACTGCACGCCACTCGTCTCCGTATGGAGGCAGCACATCGACATGATGACGACCAACAGCAGAAATTGCCGCCGCCAGCAGTAATTCAGGATCGCGAACGTGTATCCGCTGACTCGCACGCTCCCGAAGTAAGTCCTTCTCTGTTTTTCGCGTTTTTTTTGTTGCAATGATGATTTACTCTGCCGAATATCCACATTTAAGTCTTACTGTAAATGACGGCTTGAATGGCATCGTCGACAACCAGATGCATGGCCCCTGTGGCACATGCATCTAGGTAGTAGACATGTCAAAAACGGAACTGAGCAATTTGAACCTCTTTCTCATCGCTTTTGTTTATAGGATCGAGCTTGGCTAACGAGGTATGAGAGCAGAACATCGGCCCCATCGTGTGGCGTCCAGGTAAGCGCCGTTTCGCAAAGTCGACGTTTGCAGTCGTTGAGCATCCTCACATGCCCCCAGGTCCGGTTTGGCGCGAGTTCCAGTCAAAGATATGTACTGCCATCTCCTCCTCTTCCTGTCGTGTTATGATGAACCTGTTTCCCGATATACTTTAACCCTTACTTTCATGAGGACACGACCTTGCGAGGGCATGAACACGGGTGCGATCAGCCAGTGTACCTTGTTTATCGACTGCACTGCCTTTACCGCAGCGATTTCTTGTGCCCTCTTCTGTACATTTCGGTTTTGAGTACCCGCCTTTACTGAATACGCGATGCTATCTCCGAATTTTGAAGCTTCTTCTTTGTCGAACTTCGCTAACGAGGCATGAGGCCAGATCGAGCGGTGCGGTTGGGCTTGCGCAGCATTATAGGTATCGACATCGTCGTAGTCGCTTTGGCGTGCATCGCCGGGAACGTATGATCGAAGAGCGGTCGATCTCGTGCGTGGTCAGAGAGGCAGCGCAGATTGAACGACGGTAAGCACGACTCCTCTGCACTCTTTGCCATGATTAGAAGTCCTTTTTCCGATTCGTGAAGACCGTCACATCTGTTTTCTTCTGTAACATCTCTGTAAAACTGAGCAACCCATCTCCACTTCGTCTTGAGCATCCGATGATTGGCTGTCGCTGACAAAGTAGTTGCTAGGGCACAGAAGGTCCTGCTGGCTTTTCGGTGGCGGTCTTCAGACGTGGCCATCTTCCACGCGTGTGGAGGTAGACTTGGCGTTGCCGATGCGCGTCCGTGTCTTCTCCGCTCGACGGTTCTTCCATCTGCAGCTCGATGGCATCGCAAGCTGCATCATCGAGCCATCTCTCCCATCGAATTTCTATTGTCTTTGCGCACATGATTGTAAA